TCTGTGTTTGTCTGAAGGAGTTAAATAAAGATATCAAATGTGAGAGAGGGAGAGAGAGAGAGTCTGTGATGTATACATGGTGTGTGTGTGTGTGTGTGTGTGTGTGTGTGTGTGTGTGTGTGTGTGTGTGTGTGTGTGTGTGTGTGTGTGTGTGTGTGTGTGTGTGTGTGTGTGTGTGTGTGTGTGTGTGTGTGTGTGTGTGTGTGTGTGTGTGTGTGTGTGTGTGTGCAAGTGTGCGTGTAGCCACCTTTTGGTCTACTCAAATCAGTTGGCCTTGACACACTGGCTATTACTTTGACATACAAATACATCCTGTACATACATTTAGTAATAGATAAAGTTAGTAAATAATCAGCATCTGTCTCACCACATCCTGATCTCTGTTTAGTGTAGAAACAAGTGTTTATCAAGTGTATAATAAGCAGTCAAGGCTTTGATAAGAACGAAGTGAAATTATATTCAAATCTGTTAGTTCTGCATCCTGATTCTAACAAATATCTGGGTCCCTGATAACCCGGATAACAAACATACATGATGTCCCACCTCCAGCAGTTTTAGATGTGCCTGTGTGTGGCTGTGGGGTGAGTTAGTGATGGTGGGTGTAGCAGAGTATTGTAATTCAGCCGCTTTTTCCACATTCCCGGAATATCTCCCACAGCTTATTTCCTATAAGTCCGTCCCCTTCTCTTAACACACACACAGTCACTTGAAAAAACCTCTGAATCACTTTTTAGATAAGTGACGTTGGAAACAGGATTCTCCATTGTATCCTTGCGGAAGCCACTTTCAATAAATCCACAGGAATGGAGGGCTACGAAATGACGTAGAGTACTTTCTCCCACTTCCCTGGAAAATATGTCACAGCCACTAATATACAGCAGATGTTATCATCTTAACAGCAAGAGCAATTTCGCATAATAATAATAATAATAATGGTGATTTGTGTTTTGCAAATGTTCTGTTTGCTTTTACAGAGGAACACCAACATAACTTTGGTATACTCATTAACCTGAATTTTTACATTTTAATGATCAAGGTCTATTTTGATGCTCATGATGCTACAGTAGCATCTGTCTGACTACTTTCTCCTAAACCAATTCAAATGCAGGATCAGTAGAAGATAATGTCTCACATCTAGTAGAGATGCTGACCTTTTGACTGGTTTCATTTAGGAATAAATTATCCTCAAATAAGTGTCATTTGTATTTTGTTAACATAACAAATGATGTAATAATAGGTATTCAGATTTCATACACTATAAGCGAATCTTTTGCGACAATTTTAGTGGCAAACTAAACTATAGTGTGGCAGATAGTACATCTGGCACACAAATAAAGTACAAAGCTACAATATGTTTTAACCTTTGGGGCTTCAGTGGTTCAAAAGGTTAAGCAGATCGGAAGATCACCGGTTTGATCCCTGTGTCTCTCAGTCGGCATGTAGAATTGTCCATGGGGCAAGATTCTGAACCCGTTGAAGGCACATCCATTAATAAGTGAGTGTGTGTGAATATGTAAAAGTTAGCATAGTGTAAAAGCACCAAAGATCACAAGACTTTAGTATGAGCAGTTTTATTCAGTTAACTACAAACCCTGCTGTTACAGAGGACTCCCCATGTGTGAGGACCTTTATAGTATATGGTGAGGACCTACTCTCATGTGGTTTCATATAAACACAGGGTTTCTTTCTTCTCCCTTTTCTAAAGATAAATCATTACAGGGATCCTGACTGGGGTGTGGCTTTACTTTAGTCACATGTTATCTCTTCTACTACATCACTATGAAAAGCAACAGACTGCTACACAATGTCTATGAGATATTAACTAGTACTACTAAGTTAATTATTCCTCTCAGTTGTTTTACTTCCTGTCATTAATTCTCTCCCCGCAAGACCTTCCTGCAAATGCACACTGTACATTCAGCTTCAGTTTCTCTCAGTGCCAGGCCAGCCCACCAGCGTACAAAATAAACATAAATATGAGGAATAGCAAGGTTGTTCATGTGCTCTGTATAAAGAGCTTCTGTATTCATTTATTTGCATGACCTACTTAGTCAAGCTTTAATGTTGATTTTATATTTACATGTTATGATGGAAGCATTGGCTATCTTGGGAAAAGGGTCAAGTTAGGCCAAACAACAACTCAATACCCAGGAAAAGATTGTACATCATAGTGCCTAACTTGAACTTTGTTAAGTTTTGAATTGTTGGACTTTTTAAAAGACAGTTTCAGCACATAAGATTGTCTCATGAGACTGTGGTGTAAGATTGACACGCGTTTGTATGAGATCTCCTCCTGGTGGTAAAATAGAGACATTACATTAAACAGATTGAATATATATGATGTTTAAGCTGTTTAAGATGTTTTGGGGTCCAAAGATCCAAAACAAATCAGATGAGGGGTAAAGTATGTGTTTCTGCACCAAGGCATAATTTAGTAGAGATTTGCAATATAAAGTGTTGT